AATAGGTGACCAAACCAGTATACATGAGTAAACTTCCTGGAGCCATCTAGGAAGTGCTGGGGGTATAGCTCAGTGGTAGAGCATTTGACTGCAGATCAAGAGGTCCCTGGTTCAAGTCCGGGTGCCCCCTCTTTTTCTTTTCTTTTTAAAGGACTCTAATTGGATTTGTTTCCTTTTTAGAATTGGCTATTGTTGGCAACATAATAAAATTAGGAAAGCAAACTGGTAAACAGAAATGTGGCTTTCCCTATATACTTCATCAAGCAATATCATGGTTAGTAATTGTGGAGTTTAAACATGACCTGTCTATGTATCTTTTCATGAAAAGAGGTAGATCAATTCCATAAAAAATATTAAGTAGTAATAAGAAAATTCTGATTGTCAGTAGAAAGGACTAAAATATGAATCAACTTCTCTCTCTCTTTTTTTTTTTTAACAAAACCAAAAAAGAAAATTAAGTTTTGAAAATCAGTTTTACTAAAAAGCAACATTAAATCTTTCCCCAACCTTTCTACTGCCTTTGGTAAATGATCAAATGTTGTTAATAGGATACTTTAATTCAAGGTTTCTAAATTTTAAAAGAATTGGCAGGATTGTACAGTCCTCTTGTTTTATTTAGTTGGGCTTTAAACTGCATTGCTAAATCATTTTCTGTTATGAAATAGTCCGTAGGACAATATGGAGGAAGAGAAATTGCACTGTTTAGGTTAGTCCGATCCCTTACAGATATTCTTGACTTAAATTCTCCTAATTTCTACAATTGTGAGCCCCAGAAGGGGGTGACTGATGTACAGGTAGTCCTCGACTTACGAGCACAATTGAGCCCAACATTTCCGTTGCTAAGCGAGACACTTGTTAAGTGAGTTTTGCCCCATTGTATGACATTCCTTGCCACCGTTGTTAAGTGAATCGCTACAGTTGTTAAGTTAGTAATCTGGTTGTTAAGCAAATCTGGCTTCCCCATTGACTTTGCTTGTCAGGAGGTTGAAAAAAGTAATCACATGATCCCGGGACACTGCGACCGTCATAAATATGAACCGGTTGCCAAGCATCTGAATTTTGATCAGGTGACCATGGGGATGCTGCAGTGATCGCAAGTGTGAAAAACGGTCACAGTCACATTTTTCAGTGCCTTTTTAACTTCGAACGGTCACTGAATGAACTGTTGTAAGTCGAGGACTCCCTGTACAACACAGCGTTACAGCTGTGTTCTCCGTTGGCCTTGCCGTTTAGCTTTTGTGTCTTTTAGTCCTTGCTTTTTCCAAGTCTCAGGGCAGTGATCGGGTGCCTAGGCCAGGAGTAGGCAACCTTGGCTCTTTTATGACTCGTGGACTTCGACTCCCAGAATTCCTGAGCCAGCCATGCTGAGGGGAAAGGGAGAGGTTTCCAAGCTGAGCCATGCTGGCTCAGGAATTCTGGGAGTTGAAGTCCACAAGTCATAAAAGAGCCAAGGTTGTCTACCCCTGGCCTAGGCAATTGGTTATTTTGGATCCAGAGACATTAAGCCCACCAGTAAATAAAGAGATTTTAGGCTTTATTTAAGCTAAAAGAAACAGATTGAAAAGCATAATATAAAAAGTGTACATGCCAAGCAAAATAATACTCAAAACTCTTACAAACTGCCAGGAACTCCTTAATCAAAACAATAGAGATGGTTTTTTTAATGGCGGCCAGTTTACACAGTACAGGTAGTCCTTGACTTCCAACAGTTCATTTAGTGACCATTCAAAGTTTACAACAGCAGTGAAAAAAGAGACCTATGACCTATGACTGTGCTGCAGCATCCCCAAGGTCACGTGATCAAAATTGGGATGCTTGGCAACTGGCTCATATTTATGACGGTTGCAATGTCTCGGGGTCATGCGATCCTCTTTGACAAGCATAGCCAATGGGGAGGCCAGGTTCATTTAACAAACGTGTGTGACTAACTTAACAACTGCAGTGATTCACTCAACAACGGTGGCAAGAAAGGTCGTAAAGTGGGGCAAAACTCACGTAACAACAGAAATTTTGGGCTCAATTGTGGTCGTAAGTTGAGGACTACCTATGTCTTTAAAACTGCCAGGAGCTCCTTAATAACAAACACAGAGGCTTTTTTTTTTATGGGCAACCAGTTTTCACAGTATCTGATGTTAGGTTCCCTGCAGAAACAGGGGTGTTTGTTGTGTCAGGGGTGGCAAAAAATAGTGTCGGACCGTGGTACTACAGTACCGGGACGATACCAGTCCTCTGACGTTCTGACCGACGGTGGACGAGGTCCACCTTTAGCTTTCGGACTCTGAAAGTGTCGAAACTTCCATGTACTACAAATGTGTGTGTGTGTGTGTGTGTGTGTGTGTGTGTGTGTGTGAGTTAGAACAATTATTCTGTGGAACAACCTGCCTCCAGAAGCGGTGAATGCTTCAACACTGGAAGTTTTTAAGAAGAGACTGGACAGCCATTTGTCCGAAATGGTATAGGGTTTCCTGCCTGAGCAGGGGGTTGGACTAGATGACCTCCAAGATCCCTTCCAACTTTTATTTATTTATTATTATTGTTGTTGTTGTTATTTTCTCCTTTATTCAGCAGCCAAGAGTGAAAAACAAGCAGGCTAGCTCAGAATGAGCTCTAAACTTCTAAACTTTTCTTAATATGAAGGGGAAATCAAAATATGTCACCAACTCCTCACAATAACAGTGATCTTCCTGCATTGCCTCTTTTTTTTTTTTTTTTTACTAAATCACCAAATCTGCCTGATTAAGATTTGTAATATGCAAAAAATAGCTTTTTCCTCACAAAAGCTTGGATATCTATATTTGGGGATTGGTAACAAACACGAGGCAGAAGAACAGGGGCAAGAGTCCGTTAAGGTATCTTGAAAAGCATAATCAACCGACTGAATAAAATGATGTAAATCCTCTCCTGTTTCCATTCCCAATATAGCAGTCTTTTTTTCAGTCTTGGCAACTTTAAGCTGTGTGGACTTCAACTCCCAGAATCCCCTAGTCAGCCATGGTTGCAAAGCATTGCCATACAGATAGCTCCCGACTTAAGGACTGGTTGCTTAATAAACATTGTAAAAGTTACAATAGACGCCTTCCCCAAAGCTACTTACGACCCAGATCTGAAAATTTCGGTGGCCCCTTCCCACCCTCTTCTGTGGTCACATGACTGCACTTTGGATGCTCAGCAACCCACCTGCATTTACGGCCATCTGCAGTGTCCTTCATTCACAAGGCTGTGTTTTACTATGGTTTTGCAAAAAAAGGGGGGGATTTACTTCTGCTGTTTGGCAAAACCAGCCCATAGCAAGCATTGGTTCACTTAATGATCTTGGTACTTTAAAAGTCATCTGTTAGAAAGAATGCAGAGAAGAGCAACAAAGATGATTAGGGGACTGGAGGCTAAAACATATAAGGAACGGTTGCTGGAATTGGGTATGTCTAGTTTAACGAAGAGAAGGACGAGGGGGGACATGATAGCAGTGTTCCAATATCTCAGGGGCTGCCACAAAGAAGAGGGAGTCAAGCTATTCTCCAAAGCACCTGAAGGCAGGGCAAGCAGTAACGGATGGAATCTAACCAAGGAGAGAAGCAACCTAGAACTAAGGAGAAACTTCCTGACAGTTAGAACAATTAACCAGTGGAACAACCTGCCTTTAGAAGCGTTGAATGCTCCAACACTGGAAGTTTTTAAGAAGAGCCTGGACAGCCATTTGTCTGAAATGGTATAGGGCTTCCTGTCTGAGCAGGAGGTTGGACTAGATGACCTCCAAGATTCCTTCCAATTTTATTATTATTATTATAAATCCATTACAGGTAATCCATGTGTTTAATGACCATTTGAAGTTTCCACAGCACTGAAAAAAAGTGACTTATGACCAGCTTTCACAGTCATGGCCATTGCTGCATGTCCGTGGTCATGTGATCAGAATTTGGGCACTCTTTAATTGCATGTATTGATGAACAGTTCACTGCCCTGAGGTCCTGGGATCACCAGTTGTATCCTTCCCATCCAGCTTCCGACAATGAGGGAAATCATTTGCTTAATGATCATATGATTCGCTTAACAACTGCCTTGTTTAGCAACATGAACTTCAGGCTCAATTGTGGTTGTATGTTGAGTTCTACCAGCAAATGGTTCACGCATTATGCTAACTGCTAACTACAATGCCTGCTTAGACAACATGCTAAGTAGAAAGCAACCAAATGATATTCTGGCTTACTACGAAAACTCAGCCAGTGGTACCTTCCTCTTTAATACAACTCATGGATACCCTGTCTCCGTGCATGCGGAGAGTGGTAGTTCTGGGATTCAAGAAGTCTCAATAATTGTGGGGTTAGTTGTAGGTTAATGGGAGGAAAGAGTGCCCTCTACTGCATGGATTATAACAGGTGGAAGAGAGGTGGACTTGTATATCTCTGCAGCTTTTAACTTAACAGAATAACAAGAGTTGGAAGGGACCTCAGAGGTCTTCTAGTCCAACCCCCTGCTCAAGCAGGAGACCCAATATCATTTCAGACAAATAGGTATCCAGTCTCTTTTTGAAAACCTTCAATGATGGAGCACCCACAACTTCTGAAGGCAGGTTATTCCATTGGTTAATTGCTCTCACCGTTAGGAAATTTCTTCTTAGTTGTACATTGTTTCTCTTCTTGGTTAGTTTCCAACCGTTGTTTCTTGTCCTGCCTTCAGGTGCTCTGGAGAATAGGTTGACCCCCCCTCTTCTTTGTGGCAGCCCCTCAAATACCGGATTACTGCTATCATGAAGGACCCCCAGTCCTTCTTTTCACTAGAGCACACATACCCCAATTCCTGCAATCATTCTTCTTATATTTTAGACTCCAGCTCCCTAATCATCTATGTTGTTCTTCTCTGCACTTTTCCCAGAGTCACAACATCTTTTGTATATTGTGGCGATCAAAATTGGGATGCAGTATTCCAAGTGTGGTCTTACCGCGGCATTATAAAGCGGTACTAACTTGTTTTTCCATTTCTCCTGCCTTCTCACCCGCGCACAGATTTGCAGCCAAGCTCATTGCGGGTGTGCTGGATTTCAAGGCAAAGATTGACCGGTGAGTAGGTTCCTTTGGATCTTCTGGCCAAGTACAAGGGTGTTCATGGGGATTGAAACCCACTGGGCAAATCTGAAGGACAAATTCTATTTCCAGTGGACGTTGGAAGAAGAAATGGGTCATTCTGCCAGGGAAGAACATGGGACACCACCCCCCTTGGAAAACCCTGAATGGGTCAAAGGTAGCATTTGGGTCCAGGGACAAGACACTGGGTTTCATGACTGTTGCTTCTTCTGGGTGGATGTCATTTTTGTTTCTGTCTGATGGTGTCAAAGAGTTTTGCTTCCATTGAGGAGCACCATCGTTGGGCTGTGCTTAGAGCATCAGTTGGTGAAGGTGCTATGTAGAGATAGGGGCCAGATAGAGGTCGTGAGCAGCAAACTGCCCCCCCAAAGCCTGCGTGCCTCTTCTCTCTACATGATCTCATCCTTTCACATCACCATGGCAATGTAGGGAAATACCCCAGGCTGGTACATTATTGTTGTTGTTCGTCCATCGATTTCGATGAAGACCTTGACATCTTATGGATTATGGGCCATCAACGGTGTGTCCGTAGATAGCTGATGAGACCGATGTTAGCACCCTTACAAGACGGTGTATGACTTGTCTCTTTACACCTGTGATAACGAAGTCGTAAACGTCGAGACCGAAATGCCTCACGAGCGAAGAGAACACGGTTCTAACAGGAAGACACAAGTATACAGACCGTTGGGACCATTTGGTCCCATGCGGTACAGCCAGCTAGTACACGGTTTTTATCCCAAGAGATGGTGTCGATATCAGCTAGGTTACATCAACAGGATGTGGTAGAAAACTGCTCCTTGTCTGGGGCCTCCTAGCTGGTATATTCTTAAGGATTGGCAAGGGGTTTCACCAATAGAAATGCTGTTGCTATGCTGATGCCATGTTACTTTATGCTATTTGGAATACCTGTATATAAGGCAATAAACACTGCGAAGGCAGTCAGCCATATTTGCACCCTGCAATGACTGAGCACTGATTCCTTCAGTGCTAGACTAGAAATGGGAGATCTGAGTTCTTGTTCCCCTCTAAGTCTCCGAAGGGCTCTCTGGGGGACTCATTCATTTATTTTAATTCGAACCAGAATAACAGAGCTAGAAGGGACCTTGGAGGTCTTCCAGTCCAACCCCCTGCTCAAGCAGGAGACTGTACTATTTCAGACAAATGGTTGTCCAGTCTCTTCTTAAAACCCTCCAGTGATGGAGCTCCCATAACTTCTGAAGGCAAGCTGTTCCACTGGTTAATTGTTCTCACGGTTAGGAAGTTTCTCCTTAATTCCAGGTCACTTCTCTCCTTGATTAGTTTCTATCCATTGTTTCTTGTGCTGTCTTCAGGTATTTTGGAGAATAGATTGATCCCCTTCTTCTTTGTGGCAGCCCCTAAATATTGGAACACTGCTATCATGTCACCCCTAGTCCTTCTTTTCACTAGACTTCTTCTTCTTCTTGTGCCATATCCATTATCAGATGTTGGCGATCCTGTTTTTATCAGCAGCCGCACAAAAAAGTGCTGCTGAGTTTTGTCCAAACCAGTCCCTTAGATTTTGAAGCCACGATGTTCTTCTTCTGCCTGGACCTCATTTGCCTTCAATCTTTCCCTGGAGGATTAAATGGAGTATGCCGTATTTTTCTGGGTGTCGCGTCACATGTCCGAAATATAAAGGACTTGATGCATTTATTTACACGATTGTTTACAATTATAGCTGCTCCATTTTGATGGTGTTTGCTATTCTCACCAGAGTAGTAGATAGTATAATTTCCTATTCATTCCATTTTCACTAGACTAGACGTACCCAATTCCTGCCACCGTTCTTCATATGTTTTAGTCTCTAACTTCCAAATCATCTTTGTTGCTCTTCTCTGCACTCTTTGCACCATCTATATATAGACTTTGAGCCGCTCCATACTTTTCAGCCAATCTCCTTCAAAGGGGGGAATTTGAATTTGAAGGCCTGCCCAAATGAAAAATAGGACAAAAGGCTATCAGAAATCCATATGTAAAGATGCCCACCGCTTTCTTGTGGACTGAAACTGAAAGAATGCTGATTTGCTTACCTTTTTCTTTCCATCCCCATGGCAGCCAGACCCTGCTAGTTGAGTATTCCCATGGCCACCCGCTCACCATGGATTGCTATTCTCGCCTCTTTGCCTCTTGCCGACTCCCTGGACGAAAACGTGACTCCATTTTACTGCCTCCACCTGGACGGAAGCCCCCAAATTATATTACCGTTGTTCGCAACTTCCAGGTAAATACCTTCATCTTGGCCCAGCCGTTGGTCCCTGGATCTGTTGATAGCAGTTCTTGAGGCCTGAATATAAGACCCCATACTTCTCTGCTGCTGTATAAAAAAAGAGACAAAATACTATTTTAATATTTTAAAATATTAATATTTTAATATTTAAAAATAAAAGTGTGATGGTATAGTTCAGGTATTGACACATATTTGGAGCCACCCAGATTCTAATCTCCCTTCAACCATGGGAATCCCCTGGATTACTTTGGATCAATCATGCTCTCTTAATCCACTGTACCCCATAGAATTGTTTGTGGATAACATGGAGAGCAATTTGGATGCTCCCTTAAGCTCCTGAATGAGGAGTGGTATATAAATCCAATGCATCAGTACAGTATATCATGGATATAGGATTGGGAGCAATGTGCGAAGGTCCAGGAATGTGAAGTTCCTGTGTGGCCCCCTCTCCTTTCAGAAACCGCTGTGGTAGATGACCTTAGCCTTGGCTCTTTTATGACTCGTGGACTTCAACTCCCAGAATTCCTAAGCCAGCCATGCTGAGGTGAAAGGGAGAAGTTTCCAAGCTGAGCCATACTGGCTCAGGAATTCTGGGAGTTGAAGTCCACGAGTCATAAAAGAGCCAAGGTTGCCTACCCCTGCCTGGCAATTTTAAAACTTGTGGACTTCAACTCCCAGAATTCCTCAGCCAGCCCTGCTGACTGAATTGCTGAGCTGAAGGTCCAGAAGTTTTAAAGTCGCCAAGTTTGGAGACCTCTGCCTTAAAAGGAAGGATACAGGTAGTCCTTGACTTACAATCGCAAGAGAGACTGGAAAATTCCTTGTTTAAGTGGTGCAGTCATTAAGTAAGGCATCATATGACAGTACCCAACTTTATGATCTGTTTGCTGTGGCCGTTAAGTGAGATATCATGTCACCGTGACTTATGACTTCCCTGCCTGCTTCCCCCTTTGACTCTGCTTGTCGGAAGCCAGGTGGGAAAGTTGCAAAAGGTGATCACATGTCCACCTCATTATGACCATCATAAATGTACATTTGGCAAGCAGCCAAACCATATAATTACATGACTTCAGGGATGATGCGACAATTATAAGCACAAGGGCTGGTCATAAGTTGTTGTTTTTTTCAGTTGCTAAATGGATGGTCATAAGTCAAGGACTACCTGTAGCATCACTCAGTGCCTTTTGAGGATAGAGGGTCATGCTAGGTTCTTAGAGATCCCAGAAGGGTGTGAACCCCAAAACATTTGGGGACTTGCTCAGTGAAACCAGAAGTGCATAGCTCCTTGGTGTGAATGGGGTTCCCCTCACTTCTCTGCTTCTTTGTTCCTTTCTCAGTTCTTCCGGCTTGAAGTATACAACAGTGACGGGACGCCCCTGACCATTGACCAGCTCTATCTGCAGCTCCTAAAAATCCGCTCTTTTTCTTGGAAGATGGATAAAGAGCCCTTGGGGGTCCTCACCAGTGACCATCGACATACCTGGGGAGAGGCCTTCACTACTCTCATGAAAGGTGGGAAGCCAGGTTTCGGAAGCCGGAAGGATTAACTAGTTACGGGCCTTTGATCGTGTACAAAAAAGCTGCTCCATGCAGGAATCCAGATTAAAGGATCCATGTTAGATGGCTGTTCATTCTCCATTTTGAGTGAAGGGGAATGTAAGACCCAGGGCACAGCACAGAGGCAATGCAGTCAGCTGGCAATTCAAACCACCCTTTAATTGCTCCAAATTTTCCCCAAATGCTCCCACGTTTCTGACAAGCCCCAGAACAAAGTAAGACACACACACCTTCAGCAGCCTCTGGTTGCAAGTAGTTTCACATACAGTTAGATTAGAAGAGTAATTTACTCAAGGCCACGTAGATAACAAGGAATGAAACATACATCCAAAATCTAACGAGTCTGTGGAAATATAAGCTTGCCTGAGTAGTTTCAGAAGAGAAGCCAAAATACAATCCGAGGTCTTTGAACACCCAATCAAATTTGTCAGCCAGTCCAATGGTCAGAGTTTCAGAGTTTTCAAACAGAATCACTTAAATATGAGCCAGCAGTGTGCTGCAGCTGCCAAAAAAGCCAACACAGTGCTGGGCTGCATTAATCAAGATCACGTGAAGTGTTAATACCACTTTACAATGCCTTGGTGAGGCCACACTTGGAATACTGCATCCAGTTTTGGTCACCACGATGTCCTGTGTTACAACACAACCATGTTAGGAATTAAATCTGGCATTTCTTGTTCCAGACAAGCTGAACCAGGAATCGGCTCTGACGATACAACGTAGCCTCTTCACCGTCTGCCTGGACGCCCCTATCCTGAAGGTGTCCGACACTCACGCCCAAAGCCGTTTGGCAGCTCAAATGCTGCACGGTGGAGGGAGCTATTCCAACAGCGGCAATCGCTGGTTTGACAAGACGCTGCAGGTGAGAATAAAAAGCAGAACGTGAATTAGGTTCCGTTTGGAAGCTTAAAAAAATGGGATCCTCAGTTGTACACTAATAAATAAAAGTAAGGTTCTACACTTAAGTAAGAAAAACCAAATGTACAAACTTTTGACTAGGTGAAACTGGGCTTAATGCCAGTAACTGTGAGAAGGATCTCAGAATCCTAGTGGACAATCACTTAAATATGAGCCCGCAGTGTGCTGCAGCAGCCAAAAAAGCCGATGCAGTCCTAGGCTGCATCAATAGAGGGATAGAATCAAGATCACGTGAAGTTCTAGTACCGCTTTACAAAGCCTTAGTAAGACCACACTCTGGTCACCACAATTACAAAAAATATGTCGAGACTCTGGAAAGAGTGTAGAGAAGAGCAACAAAACTGATTAGGGAGCTGGAGGCTAAAATGTAGGAAAAACAGTTACAGGAATTGGGTATGTCTAGTCCAGGGGTAGGCAACCTTGGCTCTTTTATGACTCGTGGACTTCAACTCCCAGAATTCCTGAGCCAGCATGGCTCAGCTTGGAAACTTCTCCCTTTCCCCTCAGCATGGCTGGCTCAGGAATTCTGGGAGTTGAAGTCCACGAGTCATAAAAGAGCCAAGATTGCCTACCCCTGGTCTAGTCTATTGGAAAGAAGGATTAAGGGGGACCTGATACCACTGTTCCAATATTTGAGGGACTCCTACAAAGACGATGGGGTCGAACTATTTTCCAAAGCACTGTTTCTTGCAGACAAGAAACAATGATTGGAAACTAACCAAGGAGAGAAGCAACCTATAAATAAGGAGAAATTTCCTAACGGTGAAAGCAATTAACTAATGGAATGATTTGCCTTCAGAGGTTGTGGGTGCTCCATCACTGAAGGCTTTCAAAAAAGAGACTGGACACCCATTTGTCTGAAATGATATCAGGTCTCCTGCCTGAGCAGAGGGTTGGACTAGAAGACCTCCGAGGTCCCTTCCAACTCTTATTATTCTATGTCCTACCTAGGTAGTCAAGCCAGGGTAACGAATATTGTGCCATTACATATGAGATTTAAGAAGGAAGCATCTCAAAAAGCTTCCGAGTTTTGGTTACATCACAATCATTTTGATCATTTTTAGAATTGTTTTTTAGAGAGACGGGACAGCTTCTGCAGGCCAAATCCTAGATTAAAATGTAAGCATTTAGATTTTTGTCCATTTCTCTTGATACGAACAGAATGAGGCTAGGCCCGTGTGCTGTGCTGAACTCTTATTTAATGACGTGTAGTGTTTTTTTTTTAAATGATTTAAGAAAGCTATATGGCTACCTAACACACAATAACTTAGGCTGTATGCAGTCAGAAACTGACAAGCAAGGAATACATTTAAAAATTGTATTTGGGAATATACATTATTTTATTCTGCTTTTCATAATCCAAAATAAAGGCTTGAGAGAATCCTCTAGCTCAGCGGTCCCCAACCTTATGGCTTGGTGGCCTCGTGGGGAGGGGAGGGGGGAACTGGCCTGTGCAAGCAGTGGGCCGGTGCGGCCTATTTTCGAACTGGCCATGGCCCAATAGTGGGGGGCAACCTCCTCTAACTGAAACCATCTTTTTAATATTATAATCTCGGTGCCTAATAAACCATTTCTGTTCCTTCTTTCCACTCGTTCTTTTTCCCTGGCCTTCAGTTCATTATCGGAGAAGATGGCACCTGTGGGGTCCTTTACGAACAAGCCATTGCTGAGGGGCCACTGATTGCCACCGTCATTGACTACGTCCTTGACTATTGGTAATGTCCCTGTGGGGGATGTTGGGGGATAGCCTGACTGGACTCCCGTGGGCAGATTTCAAACTGGTGCTACAAAAAGTATTTCTTAAGACTCTAGTCCTCAAGATGCAGCTCTGAACTAAATAGCCAGTGACAAGGGAGGCCACATTCCCCTCGTCAGTGCATGGCAGAATGAAACAAGCCACGTTAGGGCTTAGTGCACGGTATGAACCTGGTTAGAGGGATGGTTGTTTTCATATAACACAGAATATATTTTAATTAGGGGGATATGTGTTTGTGTGTGTTAGTTTTATTAACTAACTATATGAGCCAGAAGTGTGCTGCAGCTGCCAAAAAGGCCAACACAGTGCTAGGCTGCATTATCAGAGGGATAGAATAAAGATCACGTGAAGTGTTAATACCACTTTACAATGCCTTGATAAGGCCACACTTGGGATACTGCATCCAGTTTTGGTCACCGCAATGTAAAAAAGATGTTGAGATTCTAGAAAGAGTACAGAGAAGAGCAACAAAGATGAATAGGGGACTGGAGGCTAAAGCATATAAGGAAAGGCTGCTGGAATTGGGTATGTCTAGTTTAATGAAGAGAAGGACGAGGGGGGACATGATAGCAGTGTTCCAATATCTCAGGGGCTGCCACAAAGAAGAGGGAGTCAAGCTATTTTTCAAAGCACCTGAAGGCAGGACAAGAAGCAACGGATGGAAACTAATCAAGGAGAGAAGCAACCTAGAACTAAGGAGAAACTTCCTGACAGTTAGAACAATTAACCAGTGGAACAACCTGCCTCCAGAAGTGGTGAACGCTCCAACACTGGAAGTCTTTAAGAAGAGACTGGACAGCCATTTGTCCGAAATGGTATAGGATTTCCTGCGTGAGCAGGGGGTTGGACTAGATGACCTCCAAGGTCCCTTCCAACTTTATTATTATTATTATAATTACATATATATTTATATTAGTCACAAGGAGCGACTCTGGGCATCGTGCAACAATCGGCAGAAGCACATATAAAAACTTTAATCGATATAAAAATAGAAAAAGTCATTATTAAAAACAAAAACATTAAAAAAATTAAATATAATGCATCTTTTCTCCCTTTCTTCCCCCCCCTGCAGCAAAGATCCAGTCATGACACGCAGCCCAATGATCCCTCTACAGTTGCCCCAAAAACTTTATTTTTCCATCACTCCAGAGGTCAAGCGTGACCTTGAGCGTGCAAAGCAGAACCTGGATGTGTGAGTAAGCAGGGCCTGTTTTGGTAACACACCTTGTCAGTCCCACTGAAGGGGTGGAAAATACAGGTAGTCCTCGACTTACAAACGGTTCATTTAGTGGCCGTTCAAGGTTACGACGGCACTTAAAAAAAGTGATTTAAGACTGTTTTTCACACTTACGACCGCTGCAGCATCCCCATGGTCATGCGATCAAAATTCAGAAACTTAGCAACTCACTCATATTTATGACGGTCGCAGTGTCCTGGGGGCACCTGATCACCTTTTCCGACTTTCTGACAAGCAAAGTCCGTGGGGAAGCCAGATTCACTTAACAACCCTGTTAGTAACTTAACAACTGCAGTGATTCACTTAACAACTGCGGCAAGAAAGGTTGTAAAATGGGGCAAAATTCACTTAAATGTTTCACTTGGCAACAGAAATTTTAGGCTCAGTTATGGTCGTAAGTCAAGGTATACCTGATTCCTTTATTTCTTGCTTCTGGAACATTTTTTAATTATTATTATTTGATTGATTATATGCCATTAAGTCATTGTTGACTCTTATCAGTCATATAGATAGATATTTTTTTTTCATAATGAACTGCTCCCAGTCAGGTCCTTCAGTTCTTCCTATAGTGTAGTGGTGGCGAACCTTTTAGAGACCGAGTGCCCAAACTGCAACCCAAAACCCACTTATGTATCGCCGGGTGCCAGGTGGGCGTAGCCCACTGGGTGGGCGTGGCTGTGGTGGTCATGGCAGACTGGGTGGGTGTGGCCAAGGTAGGCGTGGTCATCTTGATGTTGCTCGTGGGGAGGGACGCCTGTGGGGGCCGGGCAGGGTTGGGGGAGATCCAGGGGGTCTCTGGCAGGTGGGGCAGTAGGCAGGCGGCTTGTCCTGCGGGGTGAGGCGAGGCAAGGTGAAGCAGGGCGGGGGTCCCATTGTCACAGGGCAAGGCGAGGTAGGGGCCAGGGCAGCTGCTGCCTGACACCATCGGGCCCCGCACACACAGGCCAGTGAGCGCATGGGGGCTGACAGTGTCCATCAGTAGCCACAGCCTGCTGGCCCCTCGAACAGCGCACTCTGGGGCTCCGCAGCCCACCACCAGCAGTTCAGAGAAGCCGCCTCTGAGCTGGATGGCCAGCCGAGAGTTGAGGAGGCGATGCAGTGGGTCGTGCCCGGGAAAAGGAGAGCATGCGAGGCCAGGAGGGATGGGATGTGGGGAGGGAAACCAACCGTGCTGGGATGCATCCGGCCACAAGGGACCTCGGTGAGTTAGCGGGCGGCTGGTTGAAGAGGGACGGTTGCCATCTCCGGGGCATAGCGCGCATGCCCATAGAGAGGGCTCTGAGTGCCGCCTCTGGCACACGTGCCATAGGTTCGCCACCACTGCTATAGTGCTTCCATCGCCACTCTAATGGAGTCCCTCCATCTTGCTGATCATCCTCTTCTCTTTTCTTCTGCCTTTCCAAACAGCCTTTGGTTTTTTTTCTAGACATGTGACCCTATCTCCCAAAAGAGTTAATTTTAGTTTTCCTAATTTGATGGTGTTTCATTTTGTGGCTGCAGACTTCCCTCTTTGGTTGATTTTCATAAAAATACTGTAATGTCAAACAAATGTAAAAAATCTATGGGGCAGGGTGTCAAGACTGATTTACCTAGATGTTTTGCTCATATCTTGACAATGGAATGCAAAGGTGGGGACGGATGGTGTCTAGGCAGCCGAAAGCCAAGGCCACAGATGAAGGAGAAGTGGACTGTTCCCATAACAAGAATAAATATTACTATTGGACAGTGTAAACACCCAATGGATAGGGAAGTCCCTCGTTTAACTAAGCAAGCCTCCAAGTGAAAAAAGCAGAACTGGTTTTGCTTTCTTCTGTGCCAATGTAAACGTTCAGTAAAGTATTATACTCTTGGCAAAGTCATATCCCTAGTTTCCTTTTCTGGAAATGCCAACTGGACAGTTGACACGGGGAGCATGGTGGGTGGGCGGGCGGGCCTCGGGAGAGGATGACGCCATAAGTATCCCACCGAGGCCTGCAAGAGAGGATGGTTTTTTTCTACATCTGGCACTGCATCTGCAAACATGGCCTGAGCTCTGAGCCTCTGTCTTTCTCTGTTCAGCCTGATCAGTGACCTGGACATCCGCTGTTTCACCTATGACGGCTTTGGAAAGGAGTTCCTCAAAAGCCAAAGCTTGAGTCCCGACTCGGTCGTCCAGGTAGTGCTGCAGTTGGCGTATTACAGGTGAGCTGGCAGGTGCTTGGAGGGATGCTTGGAGAAGTGGGAGGCCGAGGGTGGGGTCCGTAACTGTGATGACCCAGGGCACAGCACAGAGGCAATGCAGTCAGCTGGCAATTCAAATTGCTCCCAATTTTCCCCAAATGCTCCCACGTTTGCTGGCAAGCCTCCAACAAAAGATCACACACACATCCCTTCAACCAACTCTGGTTGAAAGTAGGTTCAAATACAGGCTGATTAGCATAAGAAAGTAGTCAAGGCCATAGAGATAACAAGGAAGAAAACATAAACTTAACAAGTCCCGTTTGAATCCGAGCTTGCCTGAGCAGTTTCCAAAAGAGAGAGTCCAAAATACAGTCCGATAGTCAAGGTTTCCAGGTTTCCAAACAGAAGGCACAGAACAAGAGCAACAATACACAACACTCCAACGAATCAGCTTTTGTTCCCGACAAATGCCCCACCCCACAGCGTCTCCTTAACTCTCAATCCCCAGGTGTGCCTTGTGAAGTGGGGCACAATGCTCTCCTCCGAGTAATTGAGCCTACCTGTGTTGTTCCCTCCTTCTCTCCACTCTAGGATGTAGGATCAGGTGGGGGTGGGCCTTGCTTATCGCTTGAACTCTCTCTCCCCTGTTCCAATCCTGAAAGGCCCTGGCCTGCCTCAGCCTGATCCTCCCCACAGTCCTCTGAAGCCACAGACACCTCTCCCTCGGCCTCCATAGGGTCCTGTTCCAGCTCCATTTCCTCCTTAGATTCAGACTCAGAGGGAGGCATGACAGAAACCTTGAAACAGGGTTTTTTAGATGCAGATGGATTGCAGGTGGATTTTCGGGGTGTGTGTGTGAGAGAAAGAGTGGTTTTGTGTCCCTTAGAGACAAGCCAAAAGTCAGTTGCTTTTATAGAGGGTGCGAACATTTTGATTGGGAGCCACCCAGAGTTGGTTCAAAGATCGGCAGCTAATAAACATTTTAAATAAAATACTTGTAGTCCTCGACTTACAGCAGCCCGTTTAGTGACTTTTCAAAGTTACAGGGAAAGTGGAAAAAAGTGACGATGCGTGACCTTTTTTTCACACTTACGGCCGTTGCAGCATCCCCCATGGTCACGGGGATCAAAATTCGAATGCTTGACAACTGACTCACACTTAACGGCGATTGCAGTGTCCCAAGGGTCATGGGATCACCCTTTGCGACCTCCTAAAGAGCAAAGCCAGTGGAGAAGCCGCTTAACAACTGTGTCACTAACTTAACCACTGTAGGGGTTCACTTGACAATTGTGGGGAGAAAGGGTCATAAGATGGAGCAAAACTCGCTTAACAACTGTCTCGCTTAGCGACAGAATTTTGGGGGCTCCATTGTGGTCGTAAGTCGAGGACTACCTGTAAAACCAACCATTACCTAGGGGCATGGGGCATAAAAAAGATTGGGAACCACTGATGAAAGGAAAGCCACAGGTTGGTGGCCAAGGTAGTGATAACTAAATAAAGCGGGAGGGGGATCTGCTTTTGTCCATGTAGGTGTCTATGGAGATTCTCAGTCATCCAGGTCATAATTGTCCCAAAAGTGCTTTTTCACAAGGCAACTGGGCTTTTTTCCCCCCTCTTTGAAGACGTTTTGCTTCTCATCCAAGAAGCTTCTTCTGCTCTGACTGGATGGTGGGGAATGGAAGGATTTATATTCCTCACAGATAGCTGGCCATTTGCCTTCTTTTAGAGCAGACATGTCAAACTCGCGACGTCACACAACAACGTATTGGGACGGTTTTGCCATTGCCGGCAATGGGGTGGGCACGGCTTCCAGATGATGCATCCGGCCTGCGGGCCGGCAGTTTGACACCCCTGTTTTAGAGAGTGTCCTCAGGGGGTCACCTGAGTAGAAAATGGGTATGGAGCCTTCTGGGAACTGCTGAAAGGACTGTGTTATAGACTGAAGATAGATGATGTCGTATCCCTCCCCCTCTGTTGAGAGAAGTCTGTTCAATTTTGACACAGATGGCCTCTTTGAGCCCTCTTTCAAACCAGCAGTCCTCTCTAGCCAAAATGTGGACTCTCCAAAATGTGGATGACACAGATAAGCCTCCAGGTGGCATCACCGACTCTCTAAAGGAATGCAAATGACCAGCTGTCTACAAGGAGTATAAATCCTTCCATTCCTCACCATCCAGTCAGAGCTGAGGAAGCTTCTTGGATGAGAAGCGAAATGTCTTCAGAGAGAGAGAGAGAGAGAGAGAGAGAGAGAGAGAGAGAGAGAGAGAGATGCAGAGAGAGAGAGAGAGAGAGAGTTGCCTCCTGAAAAAACACTTTTGAGTTGTCCATGTAGGGTTTCTCACCAACAAGGCATAACTCTGGCGGTACACATAGAGTGCGTATTACAACTGACCTCTTTCCCTCTCCTAGAGCACACGGGCAATTGTGTCCCACCGCAGAGTCAGCCTCGCTTCGTCGCTTCCATCAGGGCCGGTCAGAAGTCATACGGTCTGCTACCTCGGCTGTGCTGGCCTTTGCCCAGGCAATGGCTGATGAGAAATGCCAGGTATTCAGCTTTCCAACTTGGTGTATTTTTTTTTAAGGCTGTGGTGATAACCCACTTCATCAAGTACCCCCAGGATCTTGAAGTAGGCTTGCTGAGAAGAGAGTGCTTGAGCTCTGTACTCGGTACTCTTGGTTAGTATTCAGTTATCCCTCCAAAAAGAGGTTGATAGTAATTGAGTTAAGTGACTTGTGCTTCCAATGACTTGTGCTTCCAATTCCTAGAAGAATAGAATTGTGGAGCTGGAAGAATCACAGGGATCATCCTTTCCAAACTTCTGCAACTGTAGGAAAGCTGGTTAAACCATTTTTGAGAAGTGGCAATCCATCTTTTTTTTTTTTAAAAAAAAAACTTTAGAGATGGAAAAGCCACAACCCCCCATATGATAACAGAATAACGGGAACTGAAAGGGACCTTGGAGGTCTTCTAATCCAACCCCCTGCTCAAGCAGGAAACCCTATACCATTTCAGACAAATTAGAGCCAATTGTTTTGGAAGCAGCCTTCAGCTTTTAACCTGCCTTGTTCAAAATGCTTCTTTGGAATGTAAAACTTTGGTTTGCAGCTGTTGGCAATGTTTGTTTCTGGCTGATGGTGTCAAAGAGTTTTGCTTCCGTCGAGGGTCACCATGGTTGAGCTGTGCTTAGGGCAGGGGTAGGGCAACCTTGGCTCTTTTATGACTCGTGGACTCCAACTCCCAGAATTCCTGAGCCAGCCACGCTAAGGGGAAAGGGAAAGATTTCCAAGCTGAGCCATGCTGGCTCAGGAATTCTGGGAGTTGAAGTCCACGAGTCATAAAAGAGCCAAGGGCATCAGTTGGTGAAAGTGCTAGACTAAAAGTGAGGAGATCTGGGTTCTCATTCCCCACTAAGCCACAGAAGCTCTCTGGGGGACTCATTCATTTATTTTATTCGAACCAGAATAACAGAGTTGGAAGGGACTTTGGTGGTCTTGTAGTCCAACCCCCTGCTCAAGCAGGAAACCCTACACCATTCCAGACAAATGGTTGTCCGGTCTATTCTTAAAAACCACCAGTGTTGAAGCACCCACAATGTCTGGAGGCAAGTCGTTCCACTGATTACAGTAATTGTTCTCACTGTCAGGAAATTTCTCCTCAGTTCTAGGTTGGTTCTTGTTCTCATGTCATTGAGTAGAATGAAGAATCGTTCCAAGCAAGGGATGGTACCCCAGTTATTGAAAGACATTCTACCTTGTTCGCTCCACGTATTTGAGGGCCTTCAGAGGCATTTCTGGATTAATTCATATGGGGTGGGATTTGGTTCTGCCAATCCTGTTAGTTTCTGTATACGGAGAGGTCTGCTTTTTTTCTTCAAGAAGTCTTGGCCTTGTTCTGACCTTGGTCACTGGGACAAGTAGGAAAAGCTACTGTTACCTATGACAAATCTCTTTTCGATGCAGCTGAAATTAAGAACACAGGTAATCCTTGACTTATGACCATAATTGAACCCAGAATTAGGGTTATAAGTCATGCTGGTCGTTAATTGGGTCACCATGTGATCGTGTCTGTTTTTACAAACTTTTTTGTGGTCATTAAGTAAATGCAGCAGTTTTTAAGCGAACGCAGAGGTCATTAAGCAAATCCGTTATCTGAAAAGGTTGGGCGTTTTTGCCGGAAACCAGAAGTAAACAACCTTTTCTGGCAAAAAAAAAAAAAAGATGTTGTAAATCACGGTTCCATGATTATAGGATGCTGTAAATGGCCATAAATGTGGGTTGGTTGCTCAGTGCCCAAAATGTGATCACATTATATGACCGCAGGGTGGTGGTGGCGTTGGTAGCCATCAGAACTTTGAATTTTGATCATCACTCGCCCTGGAGACGTTCATCATAATGGTCGCTAAACCGGCCATAAGTCAAGGACTACCTCTACCCATGTCAACATTTAGATTTCTCTAAACACAGGTAGTCCTTCACTTACAACAGTTCATTTAGTGATCATTCAAAGTTACAACGGCACTGAAAAAAAGTGGCTTATGACCATTTTTCACACGTAGGACCTTTGCAGCATCCCCATGATCACGTGATCAAAATTCAGATGTCTGGCAACTGGTTCATATTTAGGACTGTTGCTGGAGGTCATGTGATCACCTTTTGTGATCATCTGACAAGCAAAGTCAGTGGGGGAACAAGATTCACGTAATAACTGGTTACTAACTTATCAGCTCCAGTGATTCAGTTAACAACTATGGCAGGAAATGGGGCAGAACTCACTTGACAAACGTCTCACTTAGCAACAGAAATGTCGGCCTCCATTGTGGTCATAAGGTGAGGACTACCTGTATGTTAAGCAGTGAGACTTTCAATATGTATGGTTTGAACATTTTTGTGTCTTCTGGTATCTAAAATCCACGTCTCTTTTTCTTTCACTAGGCCCCTGAAAGATTATCTCTCCTGAAAGAAGCAGCTGACTTCCACAGCACCCTCACAGAGCAGGTAACTATCTCCCTGTAGCGTGTTTGGTAGGAATATATATATATATTTAATGTCTTCAAGTTAGCCTTAAAGTTGCCAACGTTTTTCTTGGCAACATTTTCAAAAATGGTTTGCCATTGCTGGCTTCTTACAGACGAGAAAAAGTGACTGGCCTGAAGTCAACCAGTTGGTTTCATACATAAGGTTTCCCCCTCTGGTTTTTTTTACCCTGCTAGTTGTAACCGACTTTAGGGGCGGTGCTCATCTCTGTTTCTTAAGCCAAAGGGGCAGCGCTGTCCGAATGTATTTCCACGGTCATGTGGCTAGCATAACATCAGGCTGCAGCACAAAGCTTATGGCAAATCAAGAAATGCTGTTACTTTCCCGCATGCTTATTATATGTGGTACCTATTCATCTACTCGCATATGCACACTTTCGAACTGCTAGGCTGGCAGGAACTGGGACAAGTGATGGGAGCTCACTCTGTCTTGTGGCACTCGGGTCTTGAACTGCCGAGCTATAGATCTTTAACAGTCTAAGACTCGGTGTCCTAACCACTGAGCCACCTTGTTCCTTATTTCAGGGGTCCCCAACCCCTGGTCCGTGGACCAGTACCGGGCCGCGGCATGCCAGCAACCCGGCCGCACAAACAAGCAAAGCCCCATCCGCAAGATGCAGGCAGCACATAAAACCACACACCCTCTGGCCCGGAAAAACCTCTCTCCACAGAACCGATCCCTGGTGTCCAAAAGTTTGGGGGCCTCTGCCTTATTTCATGCATAAGGCAAGACCAGAATTTAAAGTTTCCCCATTTTTAGCCCAACACCTTTAACCACCACACAATCCCAGCTCACCGATATGAATTGCTGGCCCTCAAATCTTCAGAGTTGGCCCTGTTCTGCAGAAATAATTTTGGAATGTCACCTTCTTTTAGGACAATGAATGACAGCAGTATTTTTGGCAAGGAAAATGGAACAAACGATGGGAGGTTTATTTATTTATTAATGAAATAGTTATTTACTAGTTTATAGAGCAGTGTTTCCCAACTTTATGCAACTTTGAGACATGGATTTCAACTTCCAGAATTCCCTAGTCAGCCATGTTGGCTAGACTAGAGGATTCTGGGAGTTGAAATCCCTAAATCTTAAAAGTTGCCAAGTTTGTAGATCCCTGATTTAGTGTGTCGAGCATATGAGTTCAAGCCACTTTCCAGTGATATCTGATTTTGTGTAATGTCTTGCAGGCTCTGGATGGGCAAGGCATCGACTGCCATTTGCTTGGGCTGAAAATGGAGGCGATAGCGGATGGTTTCCATGTGCCCGAGCTTTTTATGGATATTTCCTACACCATGGCTTCGTACTGGAAACTCTCCACAGGACAGGTACAGATAGCCAGCTCCAAATGTGTACTTCTTTGCTATATCCCTGTAGTACTCAGGTATATGATATTCTCCGTACAGGTAGTCCCTGTTTAGTGACTGTCTTGGATAGCGATCATTGGCAAATACAATGCTAATAAATGCTAATAAAAGATTCATTTTCCTACAACAAAAGCCAGTGTGAAACTGATTAAGGGTCTGGTCAGTTTCAGGCAGCAATTGTGAGACAAGGCTGCTGAGAAAAACAGCTCAGGAAGAGATTCCTTGTTTAGGCAAGGAGATTGGAAGAGAGAATTTGATTTGAATGAGATGGCAGCAACCAAGGACCTTCGTGCATTTCTCTCTTTCTCTGTGTGTATGTGTCACATCTTCACTTAGCAACTGTTTTACTTAATGATTGAGTCATCGGAACCAATTGCAGTCACTAAACGAGGACTATCATTTAATTATTTATATCCTACCTTTATTATTTTTGCAAATAGCTCAAGGGAGCAAAAATATCCAATACACCTTCTTCCTCCTATGTTCCCCACAACAACAACGCTACCATTTTGGTTTTCTTGCAGTTACGAGTAAGATTCTTCATAAATTGTATCTCTCTTCCGGCTCTAAATTTTTGCACCAAAATGTGTCCTTCATAAGCATACTGCATCCAGTTTTGGTCACCACGATGTAAAAAAGATGTTGAGACTCTAGAAAGAGTAAAGAGAAGAGCAACAAAGATGATTAGGGGACTGGAGGCTAAAGCATATAAGGAACGGTTGCTGGAATTGGGTATGTTTAGTTTAACGAAGAGAAGGACGAGGGGTGACATGATAGCAGTGTTCCAATATCTCAGGGGCTGCCTCAAAGAAGAGGGAGTCAAGCTATTTTCCAAAGCGCCTGAAGGCAGGACAAGAAGCAACGGATGGAAGCTGATCAAGGAGAGAAACAACCTAGAACTAAGGAGAAACTTCCTGACAGTGAGAACAATTAACCAGTGGAACAACCTGCCTCCAGAAGCGGTGAATGCTCCAACACTGGAAGTTTTTAAGAAGAGACTGGACAGCCATTTGTCCGAAATGGTATAGGGTTTCCTGCCTGAGCAGGGGGTTGGACTAGATGACCTCCAAGGTCCCTTCCAACTTTTTTATTATTATTATTATTATTATTATTATTATTATTATTATCATCATCATCATCATCATCATCATCATCATCATCATCATGTTGTTCATGTTTTGTATTCCCATAGGATCTCTGTGACCGTTTTACCTCTTAGCACTATGGATACACAGGACAGGACCTTATCGGTGATGGCACCTTGACTGTGCCTTATCCTTCCCCCAGAGACCTGCAACATGATTTTTCCCCTTTTCCTTCAAGAAACTTAGCAAGTTCCTTCCCCTCTTCCCATTCTCTTCCCTTGAGAGAATTGTGCTGGGAAAGAAGGATGATTTTGGAGTTGTTCGTCTGAATGCAGTTCCTACCTCCAGTAGCTTTTTTTAAAAAAAAATCCCAGCCAAGAACACAGCCATAGCAATAGCATTTAGGCTTATGTACCACCCCATAGTGCATTACAGAACTCTCTGGGTGTTTTACAATGTAAGCATTATTTGCATATTGTCCCCAACAATCTGGGTCCTCATTTTACCAACCTTGGAAGGCTGAGTCAACCTTGAGCCAGTCAGGATCGAACCTCTGGCCGTGGGCAGAGTTAACCTGCAATACTGCATTCTAACCACTGCGCCACCAGGAGTCTTGTATTCATTTGTGGTTTTTTTTTATCCCAGTTTCTTTTGTCTTTCAGGTGGCTTCCCGCACGGACTGCATCATGTGTTACGGGCCCCTCGTGCCTGACGGCTACGCTGTTTGCTACAACCCTTTGCCTTCCCATATTAATTTTGCTATCACCGCTTT